ACACATACCATTACTTCCTTAATTAAAACGCGCGTAAAATATTGACCGCATCTGCAAGGGTTTTGAGCCCGTCCGTGTTAATCCTTCCCTTCCAGAAAGCAGTCCTGCTATGGATGGAGAACCCAGCGGAGCGCGACGCCATCGCGCTCCGCCAGGCAATCAAGTCGGTCCCACTTTTCGACGCCCGAGGCGTCACCGAGCTCATCTGCACCCGCACGTGCGCCCAGATCCGACAGATCAAGCAGGTCTACTCCTCCAAATGGAGCTCCCTCGAGGACGACATCAAGTCCCACGCCTCCGGCGACCACAAAAGGCTGCTGCTCGCCTACATCAACACCACGCGCTACGAAGGCCCCGAGATCGACGCGCTCCTGGTCGAGAGCGACGCCAACTTCATACGCAAGGTGAAGGCCGGGAGCTCGTCGGACGAGGCCGTTTTGATCGAGCTTTTCACCGAGAGGAGTAGGGCCCACCTCGTCGCCCTCCGCTCGGCTTACTTCACCATGTACCAGAAGGACCTCAGGATGGTGCGCTTTGACGTAAATATTTAATAATACGTCACAGCTAGCTGTGTTAGTGCGTGGTATAAGATTCATTATGAATTTTACGTATTATATGCATGCATGCAGGCGATAAAGGACGTGACGTCGGGGAGTTTCAAGAACGGGCTGTCGGCGATCCTGCAGTGCGCGGAGAATCCGGCGAAGTACTATGCGAAAGTGATGAGGAAGGCGATGAGAGGGCTGGGGACGCACGACACGGCGGTGATAAGGGTGGTGGTGACGAGGGCGGAGATCGACATGGAGGAGATTAAGGTGGAGTACAAGAAGAGGTTCAAGAAGCCATTGGTGGATGTTATTCATTCGGAGACTTCGGGACATTACAGATCTTTCCTTCTCGCCCTCATTGCTGGCTAGCTATGCATATATATGCATTGATTGTATATAAGATGCTCAGTAATGTTCTTTTGGTTTGGTTGTTGTGATGAATAATTAAGATGAAAATGTAATGAGTCGTTTGTCATGAAAATAATTGGCTAGGGATGCATTATGTAGTAATTCTTCACCAGCTATATTTACTGTTTCATGCAAACAAACACTAATGGCAAGTCGTTATGGGAAACTAGGGTTAAGAGATGGCATGTATATATAGATATCAATGGAATTGGGAAAATGAAGCCAATTCAGGAGCTTTGCATTCTTTTGCACTTTTGATGGAGTTAAGTTATGTAGTAATACTTCAAAGATTCATAAGTAATACGAGGGCGATAATTATATATTTCCAAATGCCCAATTAGGATGTGTATAAGTTTAGAACAATCTGCCCTAAACCCAAGATCTGACCCACTACGTACTAGTCGAGGGCTGAAAATTTGCCTGTCCCGTCCCTGACCCTGTCTGTCCCGTTCCTAAAGGGACAGCTTGCATAATCGACCCGTCCCGTCCCTGTTCTCTTCTTGACCCTGTCTGACCCTTTAGGGTCGGGACGGGTCGGGACGGGTCGGGACGGGTCAGCGGGTCGACCCTCTCCGACACAAAATTAAATCAATTATGAAATTAATTTCAAAAAATAATTTTTTCACGAATTTCAGTTCAGATAATTATTTATTCATCAAATTAATTTCAAAAAATTAATTAATCACCAAAATAATTCCAAAAATTTAATTAATCACCAACATAATTCCAAAATATTAATCAATTGTCAAAATAATTCCAGAAAATTATTTATTTACCCAATTTATTCTAGAAAATCATTTATTTATCAAATTAATTCCAGAAAATTAATTAATTAATTAGTTAAATAATTTATTTATGAAATTATTTCAGAAAATTAATCAATTACGAAATTAATTTCAAAAAATCATTTTATTTACGAATCTCTGTTCATAAAATTATCTATTCATCAAATTAATTCCAAAAAATTAATTAACCACCAAAATATTCCAAAAATTTAATCAATCACCAACATATTTCCAAAATATTAATCAATTGTCAAAATAATTTCAGAAAATTATTTATTTACCCAATTAATTCCAGAAAATTAATCAATTGCCAAAATAATTTCAGAAATTTATTTATTTACCAAATTATTTACCAAACTCCCATAATATATGTGCTTGATGAAAGGATGAAATGACATCAATTATTAAATAATCATCAATGACATCATTGTTCGATAATAATCAAGTACATCATACTCATGATCACACAATACATCATTGTTCGATAATAATCAAGTACATCATACTCCTTGAGAAGGTGCATTGGTGGAGACCTCCATGGGATTACTGCTAGCTTCATCCATATCCTGCCATTTTAATGAATCAAATATTAATATCCTATCATTTGTTTAATTCTTGCCCTCTCCAAGACTTTGCTAGCTATTCTAAGTATAAATACAGTACAGATGCAAGCTGCTCTTTGGTCAACTTCAAAGCATAAATAGTCATTAAAATGCAACTGATCCCTCCTTTATCAACTTCAACATCAAAGCATTATTTATAAACAGAAGCCACTACTGCTCTGGCATGATGCATTATTTATAAACAGTGTCATCTCCTCTCTTTCATTTTCTGTGTTGTGTAAGTCAAGAGATAGATTCTCTTGACAGAGGAAAAGGAAAAGGTGAGTTAATGTAGCTTCCACCTCTGATTTTAACAAAGTAGATCATGTTTCATTTATCAGCTTCCCTAACCCCGAAACCATAAAGCCTAGGATTCCAAGATTGGCCGAGAAATCTATCATTCAGCCTTCTAGAGTGCGCATAAATCTGTTTTCACCTTGCCTAAAATCACAGTGGAAAAGGTTGAAGAACAAATGGAAGCGATCAAGAGCTGTTTCAGAGACAAGGATGCAAAGGTGGAGGAGATGAAGCAGCGAGTTGGAGCTCTGGAGAACTCTGTTGCAGAAGCAGAAGAAGAAGAGCTTCTGGGCTATGGTTTCATCTGTGACTACAGTGGTGGCTGCCGCTTCACTTGCCTTTGCTGTTAAAGTGCGTTAGAAGTGGGCAGCAGAAGCCACAGCTCTCTTAGTTTCTGTTTTTCATAGGAACTAAAGAGAAGGTATCATCTTATCTACCACTCTAAACGTCTCTCTAATTGGTGCTGGTTTTGCTAAAGCCAAGTTGCTTACTTGTTAACCTCTGGCGTTGTTGTGTTCCCTTAACACAGTAATGAGATTTCATCTAGTCCCTTAACACAGCCAGCTGAATCATTGCATCGACTCAACATTGATATGGATATGATACTACCTACTGTACTTAAACCATGAGGACAGTAATGGTTAACAAGATAACAGCAATACCCACAACCCAAATTGACCATAGCTGACGACCTGGTTTGTCCACGAAAACACCCAGAAGACCAAACCCAGACCACATACATATATGGGTAACCAAAATACCAAACTCAGACCACACATATATGAGCAAATCAAAGCAGTAAGAGTAGCCAGAGACAACCAATCTTGGGGCTGAAACAGAGACAATGAAAGAAGGAAACCGAAGAAACATACCTGTAATTGATGCAGATTTTCGACCAACAACTTCTTCTCCAAGGTCCTGGTGGCGACGAGGTATCGTGAAGGGATTCTCCAACCGCGCCGCCGACGAGGAAGCACAACAACTAGGCTGGACGCCCGGATGGAAGTCGCCGAGAATCGGTGGAGATTTTAGGCTGTAGGTTTCCCTTTCAGTCGATGAGAAGAATGGAGAAGAGGTATAGTGAAGCGGTGAAGGGATTCTCCAACCGCGCCGCCGACGAGGAAGCGCGACGATTGGGCTGGACGCCCGGATGGAAGTCGTCGAGAATCGATTGAGATTTTAGGGTGTAGGTTTTCTTTCAGGGCGAGAAGAATGAAGAAGGAGAAGACCCGTCCCGATTAATTTCTAGTTTCTACGGGTCTGTTTTCCGGGTCACAGGGTCAGGTGGGTTTTTTAGGGTCTGAGTGTAGTTTGACCCGTCCCTTATAGGGTCAAGAGGAAGACCCGTCCCGAACTTGTCCCTCTGTGCAAATTGACCCGGCCCGACCCTTCGGGACGGGACGGGACGGGTCGCCGGGTTTTAAGGGTCAGAATTTCAGCCCTACGTACTACCATCCTTATCGACAACACCTAATCACTACTCGAACTTTAACATTATAGAATATATACAATTTTAGGAGAATATTAATACAAATGTAAATTTTTCTTACTATAAATGGACATCGAAATAAATACCTACATAATATACCACACCTCATATCATGCATTCTTCCCACAAGCTAGTCACCACATTCACATAACAATCCATTAATTTATTTCGGTATCTTTATTTCAAATGCACACATCCATATATCGTCACAATATTATACATACATATAGTTTAGACAATCACACTAGCTAGCTTCATCGGCCGGAGAAGCGTACGTACATCGTCATATATCAATAACTGGAGAAATAAGTCGGCCAGCCGACTTGTTTTCTCTCGCCGGCGGCACGTACAGTCATCACCTTCTTCGGGGAAGGCCTGCAAATTAAATTGAATGAAGTGGAAAGGAAAAGCCAATTAAACTGATAAACCGAGTTGGTCGTCAAATGGTAAATTTAAAATGACAACTATGTATAGAACAATCTTCAGCTGTATATGTATAAGAAAACAAAAAAAAAAAACGTAGTTATATAGTCTCTTTATTACCTGAATTTTTTGGTATTGCAGGTTCAAACTAGACTCCAATGATCATATTTTAAATGTTAATCATCGATGTTTGTTTAATATGATAATACAACGTGGAAATTTAATGACAACTACTCCAGGTGTTTTCTACGACTCATAATAAATTTGGTCGTATATTAATGCTTGGTTAATAAGACGAATTCATGAAGTACGTACTCAGATTAAATATTAGAGCAAATATATACGAGAGAGTTTCACACGTTGAAATTATTTCGAAAGGAGTAAGCGGATAACGATACTGAAAATGATAGGTGTACGTAACGTACGTAGCGATAAAGGTATATTTAATTTATTTACCGTGCGAGAGAGAGCCCGATATTTCAGGATGATTCGTCTTCTCGTACTCCATCTCCCGTAGAACAGCATCAACCTCGTCCAGGAGTATGTTTGGTTCGTCGTCTTCGTAGGGCTCATGCGGCCATTTGATGTGTACACTCGGCAGGTTAGCCTTGAGAGCAGAGAGATCGCCGGGCGGCAAGTTCTTGCATCCGCGAATGTCTAATACCTTGAGTTCCTTCAGATTCAGACCATCATCGGCTGCTAATGCTATCAATCTCAATCTCTCTAGCGACGTGCAACCAGCGAGTACCAGTTCATTCAACGACTTCAAGTCGACAAGACCCTCGATCTCCCGCAGTTTCGGCATGTCGTGGATGGATAGGAAAGCTAACTTTCGTAGCTTCGACAGCGACGGAAGTCTGTCGACGGATGACAAGCCAAACTGAAAACAATTGAGAGAAGTGGGTAAAACCCTAATGCTTGATACTTCTCATTGATCTGTTTTGCCATTTTATAGGCAGATGGATTACAGAAAAAGACACCCAAGCTAGTACATTTTTGTCTATTAGCTTGGAGAGGAAACAATTACAAACTTGAAACAAAAGAAACAGAGAGGAAGAAGTAAAGTAAAACGACACAGCTTTGGTGATGTTGGCTAGCCACCTGAAACGCTGCCGGATTGGAGAGTGTCTTCAACCTTCGAAATCTGTTGACCGTTGGCATTGAATTTTAGGGATTCATTTCCTGTTACCCCCCCGCAAGCCGGTGGGCAGAGATTCTGGACACCGAGCTTGGACAGTAATTGAAGGAAGGGTCCTGGAGATAAAGGCTTAGTGAAGAGATCAGCCAGCTGGTGAGTGGAGGAGACATGGAATAGCTTGAGAATCTTCGACTGGAGCTTGTCGCGCACCAAGTGACAATCGAGCTCGATGTGCTTGGTGCGTTCATGGAAGGTAGGATTGTCAGCGATGTAAATTGCGCTTTGATTGTCGCAGTAAAGATGAGCTGGTTGTGGATGCAGGACTTGGAAGTCTCGTAGCAGATAAAGAATCCATTGGAGTTTGCAAGCAGAGAATGCCAGAGCACGGTACTCGGCTTCGCAGGAAGAACGCGAGACAGTTTGCTGCTTTTTGCTCTTCCAGGAGATGAGGGATTCACCCAGGTAAACACAATAACCTGTGATTGATCTGCGTGTGTCAACACAAGCAGCCCAATCAGAATCTGAGAAAGCTTTGAGTTGAAATTGACCTTTAGATGAGAAGAAGATGCCCGTGGCTGGGGCACATTTTAGATATCTTAGGATCCTTTGAACTGCTTTGAAATGTTGAACACTTGGATTGCCCATGAACTGACTCACTTGCTGTGTTGCAAAGCTGATATCAGGGCGGGTTGTTGTTAGGTAGATGAGTTTTCCCACTAAGGTTCGATAGAACTCAGGATCTTCAAAAGGCTGGTCACAGGTGCTGGTTAGGTGAGTTTTGTAGTCCATAGGAGTCGTGACTGGTCTTGAGTCCAATAAGTTTGCCTCTTCAATAATCTCAAGGGCATATTTTCTTTGAGAGAGATGAATACCTGAATTGTTCCTTGCTACTTCCATACCAAGAAAAAACCTGAGAACACCTAGGTCTTTAATGCTGAACTCAGAATGAAGAAAGTCTTTGAGTTGCTGAATGGCGTTTGAATCATTGCCTCCAACCAATAGATCATCCACATAGATGAGGATGCAGGTATAACTTGAATCAGTGACTTTGTAAAACAAAGAGTGGTCTGCTTTGCTCTGAGAATATCCAACATGCTGTAGTTTATCAGTGAGTTTAGAAAACCACTGCCGGGAGGCTTGCTTGAGTCCATAGATTGACTTCTTAAGTCGACAAACTGGATTTTGGAAACCAGGAGGTGGAGTATATCCCTTAGGGAGAGTCATGTACACCTCCTCTTGTAAATCACCATGGAGGAAGGCATTATTCACATCCAATTGGTGAATATGCCAATTCCTTAAAGCAGCAACAGCTAGAAAAGTTCTGATGGTAGTCATTTTAACAACTGGGGCAAAAGTGTCCTGATAATCAACTCCCTCCTGCTGTGTATATCCTTTGGCAACAACCCTTGATTTGAATCTTTCAATGGTACCATCCTGATGAATTTTGATTCTGTACACCCACTTATTACCAATAGGCTTCTTGCCTTGAGGCAGTTCAACAACATCCCATGTTTGATTTTGAATGAGAGCTCGGATTTCATGTTTCATAGAGTCATTCCACTCATCTGATTTAGAGGCTTCAGTATAGGTAGTGGGCTCAACATAGGAAGATAAATTCATGACAAATGTTTTGTAAAAGGGTGAGAGATTGTCATAAGAGACCATGGAAGAGAGGCCATACCTTGAGTCTTGGACCTGTTGCTGAAGTGAGTGACCAGTGCTATTAGATTGAGAGGCAAGGTAACAGTGGTAATCTTTGGTTAAATGAGTGGGGGGTTTTGATGGTCTTGCTGATTTTCTAGGCTGAATGGTTGGAGGAGCTGGAGGGGGTGAAGGAGAATCTGAAGGAGTAGAACTATTGGAAGGTGTGGTTTGGGAGGTAGAGGAGGAAGTGGGAGAGGAACTGTTTGAATGAGATGGTGTAGTTGGTAGAGGTGACTGAGGTAATGGTGTAGATTGAGAAGTAGGAGGATCATGAAGGAGGGAACTGGTTGGTTCAGGAAGAGGGAATAGGAGATCAGAATCAGTGTTTGTTGTTGGTTGGGATTCAGAAGAATGAAATGGAAAATGAGATTCATAAAAGATTACATCCCTTGAGACAAAGACATCATGGGAATCAAGATCATAAATTTTGTAACCCTTTATACCAGGCTTGTAACCCAAAAACACACCCTTTCTTGCTCGTGGTTGAAATTTGGTTCTGTGATTAGCTAAGGTAGAGGCATAACACAAACAACCAAAAACCTTTAAGTCAGTAAGATCAGGGGGGAGGTTGTACAGCTTTTCATAGGGAGTTTTGTTGTGAAGAACAGAAGAAGGAACACGATTGATAAGAAAAACTGCATGTTTTATGCAGTCACTCCAGAAACCAGGTGGCAGGTCAGCCTGGAATTTGAGGGCTCTGGCCACAGCAAGAATATGCTGATGTTTTCTTTCCACTCTACTGTTTTGTTGAGGGGTCTCCACACAAGACATTTCATGGAGAATGCCCTGTGAATCATAGTAATCAGTCATTTCAAATTCCTTTCCTTGATCACTTCGAATTCTTTTAATTGTTGTTTGGAATTGCCTTTGCATTTGGTTGCAAAAGGCAATCAATTTTGGTCTGGCTTCTGATTTGAGTTGAAGCAGAATGACCCAGGTCATTCGTGAAAAATCATCAACAATTGTAAGAAAGTACTTGTAGGAATCATAAGAAGGGACTGGATTAGGCCCCCAAATATCAACATGTAAGAGTTCAAAAGGATGTAGGGTTACATTTTGACTCAATGGAAAAGGCAGTCTCCTTTGCTTGGCAAAGTGACAGACATCACAAGGTAAGCCCTTTTGAGTTTCAATAGAGCTACAAAATTGATTGAGATAAGGAACTTTAGAGTGAGACAGGTGTCCTAATCTAAAATGCCATAAATCAAAAATGTTTGATTTTGCAACAGAGATGATCTTAGGATGACTAGGGGCTTCTAGGTAGTAAAGGCCATTGGTCAATCTAGCAGAACCAGTCACTCTCTTCTGCTCCAGGTCCTGTATGACACAAAGGTTGGAGTGAAATGTTAAACTGAGTGAATTTTGAGCAGTGAGTTTGCTGACTGAGACTAAATTGAAACTGAAACCAGGAACAAAGAGAGCATCCTGAAGAGTTAACTCAGGAGTGCAATGAATTGTGCCTTTATAAGTGGCAGGGATTTGTTGTCCAGTGGGCAAGGTTATGAACACACCAGATATAGGGATAGGATGGAGAAGGTAATCAAGGCAAGAAACAATATGATCAGAGGCACCAGTGTCCAAGATCCATGTGAAACTGTGATTTGGATTGATATGGTTTGGTGCTGATAAGAAACATGTACCTGATGGGGTGGTGGTAGTTGTAAATGCAGCAGCTGTGTGAGGAGAGTGCTGCTTAGAGTTCCCAACTAGAGCCATTAGCTTGTCATAATCAGCCTTTGAAAGCTTAACAGAATCATCAGGAGATGTGATTGCAGAATGAGCATATCCTCTGCCTCGTCCATATGAAGAGGTGGTAGTCCTGGGAACATAGTTGGCTGGAAAACCATGTTTCTTAAAACATTTGTCCTCAGGGTGGCCATGTTTACCACAGAAAGTGCATTCAATCACATTGGATGATGTAGACATAGGAGGGGATCGAGTTGACATTCCTGGTGGAAAACCATGTTTGATAAAACAAACTTCCTCTGTGTGCCCCTCTCTTTTGCAGTAAACACAGTAAGGCCTTTTTGGAGCAGTATTAGGTCTTCTGTTGATACCTTGAATGGCTAGAGCAGAGGTATCAGCAGTGACAGAAGCAATGAGTTTGCCTCGTTGAGTACCATATAACTGCCTCTCATGCTGTAACATACGTTGGAAAACCCTGTTGATGTTGGGTAACTCATCCCCAAACAGAACTTGGGAGCGAACAGCAGAGAAATTGTCATTCAAACCTCTTAAAAACTTGATAACATAGCTTGTTTCCTGATATTCATGAACCAGCTTCATGGCTTGGCATGTGTTGTGACTAGTGGTAGTACAAGCACAAGGAATTAGAGGCTGATAATTGTCCAGTTCATCACGAAGAGTAATAACCTTGCCATAGTATTCAGTAACAGTTTGTGTACCCTGTTTTAAACTACAGAGTTCTTCTTCTATTTCAGCAACTCGAACAATGTCACCAGAACCATACCTTGTTTGTAAACTCTTCCATGCTTCAGATGCAGATTTGCTCGAAAGAATGGTCTTGCGTATCTCAGATTCAACAGCTTGTTGTATCCAACTTAAGATCATAACGTTGTTTCTCACCCAGGCATTTCTCTTCGGATCTGTTTCTGCAGGTTCAGGAATGGCGCCATTGAGGAAACCCAGCTTGTTCTTTGCAGCAAGGGCGTTGAACATGGCGCGGCTCCAGTCATTGTAGTTTGTTGGTGTGAGCTTTTCACTGACCAAGAGGGAACCAGGTTGCTCGGAACCATGAAGGAAGTATGGATCTTCCATTGGGTAAGGAGTGTTTAAGTTTTCACCAGATGCAGAAGCATCTTGTTGGGTATCGTTTGTGGCCATGGCGGCGCCCTAGGGCTCTGATACCATGAAAACAATTGAGAGAAGTGGGTAAAACCCTAATGCTTGATACTTCTCATTGATCTGTTTTGCCATTTTATAGGCAGATGGATTACAGAAAAAGACACCCAAGCTAGTACATTTTTGTCTATTAGCTTGGAGAGGAAACAATTACAAACTTGAAACAAAAGAAACAGAGAGGAAGAAGTAAAGTAAAACGACACAGCTTTGGTGATGTTGGCTAGCCACCTGAAACGCTGCCGGATTGGAGAGTGTCTTCAACCTTCGAAATCTGTTGACCGTTGGCATTGAATTTTAGGGATTCATTTCCTGTTACAAACAGGCTTAGATATTTTAGCTCTTCCAGATTGGCAATGCCGTCTAGTTGTGATCCCATTCCCTGCATGCGCATGGATGGAATAAGTAATAAATAGTTGTATAATCTAAATCCGGTGAATTTATGGTTATGTGATACTCTTAATTAGATAGTGTTACCATAACATGCACTCGTCGGATTTTAATTAAGGTATGGTATATAGTGTGTCTCTTGTGGGTTCAATTCTTGTGAACTTTTGTATTTTATTTTTTCCAATATTGTCAGAATCGAACCAGAGTATCAACTGATAGTAAGTCATTAAACATCGTTAAAGAACAGATATCTTATTGAAAAGAATATTATAAGTAGACACACATAAAAACACACTGAAATCAAAATAGAGTTCATTGCTCTTAAATTAATTTTAAACATGGATGCTAAAGCTCTCAAGTTTAAACCCTACATGAACCACATTGTTCCCAATATAAAAACAAAGGAATTAAAATACCAATTTATAAATTTCTCCGGTTTAATCCTCAAATTCAAAAATAAAAAAATCTAAAAAAACCCATTTAGCATACAATCAAACAAAACCAAATTATTGTAAAGTTAACACACACGTACAGCCAAACAAACAAAACAATCACCTGCTGATCAGCCGCTAATTCATCAGTTACGTCCCCAATTTCCAGCGACGTAAGCCTTGGGAAGTTTGACAGATGAGGTATGCCGCCGCCACACTTGACGATGCACAATGCTTTCATAGATTCGACTCTTTTCTCACGACGGCCGACGTCGTCGTGACGGCGGCGGAACGTTGATGTGAGAAGAGGACAATACGTCATCGAAATAGACTCCAACTTACTAGATCCGGCCAACAACAAATTGTCAAGCCCTTGGATTTCTTGCAGACTGCCACATCCGTCAACAAACAAGTCGGTCAAATTCTCGAGGTTCTCCAAGTTTGGCAACCACTTCAATTCCGAACAATCCCACACGTGGAGATTTGTCAAAGATGTTGGGAGCCGACAACAAGAAGAAGATTCTGCGGGAACCATGTTGGAGTTTTTAAGCATCATGAACTTCAGTTTGGATTCACTCCACCACGAACTCTTAGTCGTAGGGATTTGGAGACCAGAATCACATTTCACAACCATCAGTTCCTCCAAAGCCACCAGCTCCGAGAGATTAACAACCGGAGATGAAGTGTGTAGCACTTTCAGACTCGTTGGAAGCCTCCCTAATAATAACGGTAGCTCCGCCGCCTCAGTTTGGTGGTGATCTTCATTTTCTTCTATGATCTTCTTCTTCGTCATCCCCGTTGTTTTCAGGATCTGAAGAGAAGACAATTCCCCGATATCGACGACCACTTCCTCCAGATTGCTGCGCTCGAGCATGCTAAGATCAAGCTCTTGGAGCCTTTCCATAGTTCCAATGGTTCCGCCAACTATCCTTTCTAATTTGATGCCACATAGATTCAACACTGTTAGGTTCCGCAAATTGCTAACGTCCAACTCCAAACCCGAATTTAGATCGAGATATGAAAGGTTGAGCACCTCCAGATTCCAGGAGGATTGTGGGGATTCGGGGATTTTGGTCAATGAACTGCATCCGGAGAGATCTAGGACTTTCAATTTGTTAGCTGTCTGCATATTCATAAACACAAAAAAAATGTCAAACACACTCTTTGTAAAAGCATAAGTTGGAAAAATGGTAAATGCCACGCGTTTGGCGTTACTGGGTTTACTAAAATGCGTAATGTTTAGTCACTGAAAAATATTAATATTAATGTTGGTAACTCGAATTAGTAAAACGGTCCACGTTTAGTCACTCTACGTTAGTCTCCGTTAATACCGTCAGTCAATTGGTTAATTGGCTGACAGAAATGCTGAATCACCCTTTCTTTCCCTACCTAATACTTAGACCAAACCAACCTATGTGGCGGGTTAAAAAAGGGCGATTCGAGTGACTAACGGTGTTAACGGAGACTAACAGAGAGTTACTAAACGTAGACAGTTTTATTAATTCGAGTGACCGACATTGATATGAAAATTTTCTAGTGACTAAACATAACATGTTTTAATAAATCCAGTAATATCATTTATCCGTTGGAAATATGAACAATATTTTTTTATAAGCAAACCTTGATTTGGCTCCAACCTCCCCAATCATCCTCTAAACGTGGGGATCCTTCGAGATCAAGAATCACCAGATTTTCCATGTGAAAATTGGCCGGATGATATACTTTGTTTTTGTGACCACGCAAGCTAAGCCATCTTATGTTAGGAAGAATGTTGTCGAAATTTCCGCCGAACGTAGCTCCACCGGCATCGAAATATCTTAGCTCTTGTAAATTCAGAAAATGCTCGCGTGTAAGCGTGCCAATGTTATATGCATCATCTACTCTAAGAGCTTTAACTTGGTTGGATCCCTGCGTAAAAGAGAATTAGAGATTATAAGTTTGGCAAGTAAATGTGCATTGAAAGCCAAAATGGGGAGAGAAAAAACAACAATTGCTGTGTATGAAAGTTTGGTATCTACCTTCTTCATTCGTAACATTTCCAGAGCGTCCTTCTCGTCCCATACCCTACTTCTCATTCATGCGTATTCAGGATTTTCGTCACGAACGATTGCTCTCCCCATATCTCTTAGTTGATCGTGCATTTGAAACTCGTCGTCATACCCAAGTTTGATCAGGGATCGGTTGTCGAGGATAGTGATGCTGACCTCCGGATAGAGTCCAAGATCACTCCACATGTAAGAAGGTTTCTCTTGATCGATACCGATGTAGAAACAAGCAATATCAAGAAAAATTTGTTTGCTCTCAGGATCTAATGAGTCGTAACTTATCTTCAAAATTTCCTTGACTTCTTGGTTGGGTGAATTTCTTAACTTTTTCAACTCACCCTCCCAGAACGGTATTTTTTGCCCGAGCAAAGAGGAGCCCATAACCCTAAGAGTTAATGGGACTCCTATTTTTTGTACAAATTTTTTTGTTAGATTTTCGTAGCCCGTTATAGGAGAACCCTTGTGGAAAGCATACCTACGAAAGAGTTGGCACGATAGTTTTTCATTCATAGGTTGAACTTCATATAACTTGCGGTACTGATCGAGATCAATCAATGCAGTTTTGTCCCTGGAAGTAAAAAGGAATCTACTTCCAGGAGAAAAATTCTTAGGATCTCCCAAAACATCCTCAAATCTGAACTTATCATCCACATCGTCAAGAACGATCAGAAGTTTGAGCGAGGAAAGTCTATCTTTTATCAGCTTGATTCCGTCGCTAACCATGTTGATAGAACTACTAGCTAGAATCCTCTCTTATCATAACCTGAGAGATTAGCTTCTTCTGCAAATTGATGTTACCATCCTTGTCCTTCTGTGTTTCTCGTATGTCTGCTAGAAAACATCGTCGATCGAATTGAGTAGCAAGTTTTTGAAAGGCAGCTTCTGCGATAGTGGTTTTGCCTATGCCACCGAAACCATGAAGGCCAACCATTATCAAACCTGAAGAGTCTAAGCTCAATTTCTCTATCACTTCCTTCACAGGATTTTCAATCCCAACCAACTCACCCGCATATGTAACACTTTCATTTTTGTTTAAATGCCTCAACACAAAGCTGGCAACACCATCTATTACAACTGCAAGGCTGTCGAAATGAAACACATATATAAATGTATTGTGAAAAACAAGTAAATAATATGTAGCAAGGAGTTGATGATCATTTGGTAATAAGTAATTAACAAGGGCTAGATTGGTGATCCTTATAAAAAAAGGGCTAGATTGGTGTGAGATCAATGACTTACTTGGCATCTTTGCTCTTGATGGTCCGTCCGACTTTATGCCCAACCACACACATAGCATAGCATGCTTCCAGTTTTTTAAGATTTCGGGGCTAACTTTCTTCGTGTCTTCGTGCCGTTGAAATGCTTTCTGATAAGGACCGGTTTGGTTTTTCACATCCGTAGGTTCCACCATGTAGAAAATGGGATATCATATATGACGTGCCTTTGGTCTCGCTCCTGACACTCGACCATTTTGGCAAGCTCTTTAAGGCACCATTTGCTATTCGCATAGTTCTCAGAAAGTATCGGGATGTAGATCTTGGACTGTTCAATGGACTTAGCGAGGCTAGGGCCTATCTCGTCCCCGTGGTACTGATGGTTATCATCTATGAATGCACGAATGCCACGATTTTTTAGGAAAAGGGAAAGAAACTCGGCGATCTGATGACGCGTGTCTCCACCTCTGAAGCTCAGAAACACCTCGTACTCCCCCGTCGGAAGTGGGGGAAGTACAGTTCTGACTGTGATGGTTGCGATGGTGAGGTGTTTGAGTCTGGAGGTGAGGTTAGTGATGTTGGCGAGGGGTTATTATTGTTAGAAGGAGGAGGTTGTGGTGATGGTGATGGAGGCGCAGGGGGAGGAGGCTTTGGGAAGTTCTTATTATTAGAACTAGTTTTACTTCCACAACATAACTTGCAGGGGATGAGAATAGGAGCTAGGATCTTCGCACATCCCTTTATTCCACCTAAACAACAGTCCATTTCTGCATTATGAAAAGCAATTTGTTCATAATGGAGTTCGATTGTATATGAAAATTATATAATGATGATAAAGAAAATTGTACCATGTTGTGAAATTATATATTGTGGTGGTACGACAATTGGTAGAGGGTACTATCTCGAAAAATATCTAAAGTCTAATATCATTTTGTAGGTCACAATAAATCTAATTTTCTATATAATTAAAATAAAAAGCCACAGATGTAACTGGCAAGTGAATTGAAAAAAGTTAGATTATAAAAATGTTAGTGACACACACATATTTATCCCAAAAAAAAATCAAGTGGTTGAACCTAATTGTCACCAGATGGTTATACATACTACCCTAAGCCAACTAAAATCGACAGCAACTCCGTCGGCAAAATTCAAACTCGTTTATTGCTGAAGAATAAGGAATCTTCTGCATTTCTGCTTTATCTAGATTATTTGTGGAGCACTGAGTGAGACTGAACTTGTCTTCTATGGCTACTGGTGTATTTGCTGGGTTACAATCTTTCATATAGAATCTACTCAAAACATTACTTCGAGAGCGATCTCTTAGTATCTCAATATCCATTATAAAAGAGGCGTCACCAAGATCTTTCATTTCAAAATGCTTCGTTAGACCAAGGAAATACATGCTTACCTATCATAGATCAGATAGACTGGAGGTCATTGGTATTCTGACTCCAATTTTGCTGGATGCCAAGATAGCATGAGCTCTACATTTGGCTATATCTTTATGTTGGCTAGAGGGGCTATTTCTTGGAGGTCTGTTAAGCATCATCTTATAGCTCCTTCCTCCATGCCGACATAATTCATAGCTTGTTATGAGGCATCTGCTCAAGGATTATGTCTACGAAATTTTGTCACGGGGCTGCGTGTGGTAAACAACATTAAGAGGCCATTAAAAATTTATTGTGACAGTAATGCAACAGTGTTGTACTCTAATAATAGTAGGAGTTCAAAAAAGTCACAAGTTTATCGATGTCAAGTACCTTGTTATTAATGAGAGGGTTCAAAATAAACAGATTTCTATAGAACATATTAGGACTGAGTCTATGCTAGCTGACCCTTTGACCAAAGGTTTACCGCCTACAACAATTTTGAGCACACTGCTCATTGGGGCGTTATTCAGGATGATACCTTGGTTTAATGGGAGTCGTTTGTGTATTGTTGTATAGACATTGACTTATGATTCTGCAGAATAAAGTGATATTTTGTTTCTTTCACTTTCTATTTTGAACTTTAAGGTGTTTAGTTCTTTTATGCAATATTCACATTGCATGCAGTATTTGTTGATCTCACTAAAAGTGGACCAGTTAAAAGTTGGCATGTTCAAGATCACATACATGTAATTTTTATGCCGCATTCATATTTGATCTATGTTATTGAGTGTATAAAAGTGGTGATCATGGTGGTTTAATCACTATCAATATCATGATTAAAGTCGCATTGGTTCCACTACTATGCATGAGGTGGACAAGATTGTTAAGGAGTAGTCATTGTATAAATATCATTCGGTCGCGCGACTAAGAAACTTTTGTGATATAATTATTTGTAGAAAAACATACAACCCAAGTGGGAGATTGTTGGAAAATATGTTCCACGTGCTGTGGGCTGTGATTTATGTTACCAATAATTATATTAGTTATTAAAGTGAGCTAATTGTAAGTGGTCAAAATTATGGAGCCAAGACTTCTCAATATCTTATCTGGATCCAATGGGTGAAAACCATATACTAAACCCAATTAGGATTTGATGGGAACCCTAGCTAAACATAGTATATAAAGAAATTAGAGGTTGTGGTCTCTAATACACCAAGATCGAAAATACAAGCATAATCTCATCATCAGGAATACACGAGGTTCCTGTGAGTGGACTAAGAAGGCTTGGTTGAGGAAGGCCACCTAAACTTCCCGGATTGTGCTCTTCGATGTATCGTCCGTTTAAAGATCGTTCTACAAATTCCGCATCAAACTCCCTATGATCTACCATCGTGAATCCATATATTTAAATCTATTCGCCTTTTGATAATCTGATAAGATATTGTCAGAAAATTACATATATTGATTAATCCCAGCATCCACAACCTTTATAAAAAAAATCCCAACATCCACAACCAATGATATTGCATAGTTTAAATTCAGTATAGCAGCTTGACCCATGCACTATATAGATGCACAAACATATACTGTGGTACGTACATATATACATGCATGCGTATAATATACACATAAGAAAATAAATATATTGACGGTAAATGAAAGAAGGTATGTATATACCTGAACCTGATCAAATCGTCTCGTCGAAACAGGTACGGAGGACGGATGAATCTTTACTGCAGAACGATTGAATCGATGGATGGATCCTAATAAAACGACAGTCGCATGACGAAAAAAACGACACTCATAATGTCTAGCTAGCTATTCGTTTGGGCCTGCATCAGCATGCATATGTGTATTTATAGAAGGAGATCAAAGGAGACCTTGCTTGGTTAACAAGTTTCTTTTCCTTCTGCACAAACTGGAAACTAAGTACTTATTCGATCTCTTTATTGCTGGGCTTTGGAGGGAGCTTTTAGATTAATTAATCATTTACCGATAAATTAAAGGAAAACTAAGCTAACTAAGCTAGGGATCGATACTATGGACAAAGAGTGATTTAAATTATATACGTGTCCGTTCCAGGCCCTGCCATTAGAGTGTGTCAGGAGGCCTTCCCTCTAAATACTAGAGGCCTCCATTCCATTGTTTGTAGGTTTGTTATTTGATCCAGTTCTATATTATATGATGAATTGTTGTGTATGATTGATTGGTTATGATTATGATAATGTGTTTAAATATATAATTATTAGTCGTGCTAGTTATTGCTCAATATTCTCGTATATATATAAACGAGATATGCATATTCATTATCAAAGTTTTATTTGTGTTCTACAAGTCTTATTTGTGTAATAAAATGACACAATAAATTCTTAATGAATTAGGGAAGATGATGATTGAAAATATTTTCTAGCAAAATACAAGCATTGATGAGTTGATGGATAGTTTTATTTGAAACTATTGTGTAAATAACAACATTCATTTTATTATACTTTCAAAAAATTGGATCACATCCTAGTTTCAAAATAGGGTCTCCGCGATTCATTGGATTGCCCCGCCAGCCTTTTCCTTATATCTTTTCATGTAAGACAAGTAAGGTATTAGATGTATTCTTTTGTTCGAAATTGCATGAAGAAACGATTGAATTGGATGAATTATTGTGGATGGCTATTTGCAGTCAACATAATTACTATTTGTCGGCCACTTTTTTTCCAATTTCAAAATTTAAAATTCATATCTATAAAAACATGCATTCATAACTTCACTTCTCATAGCATTGATATATATAGAGAGAGATAAACGAGTTCACATTCCTACACAATAAATTTCGAGCTAGCTATACTTAGAAGAAAAGGAGGGTACCACCGTCGATTATGAAGGATCACCTTAATTATTGCACCATCTTCTGTGAATGCTAAGCTCTCACTCGAACAGAGTGTCCACAAAATTTTTGAATGAATTTAAGCAGCCTATCAAACTAATGAATCTGGCTCCCTATTTATAGATGTAAAACTCAGCTAGAACCTTCCTAGCCCTACCGTGACAAGGTTTCTTTACATATGGCCGAAACAAGGCCTTCTGGATCTTCTTTTGACTGGGCCCTTGAGTGGCGGCTGGGTGCCGAGATCGCCAAAGATTTTCTTTGTGGGCTGAGTTTCTTGGCCTATTATAAGCAACCTTTCTTGAAGATTTCTCCGTCATTTGACAAGGTATGCATAGTGGTGGGTGGCACCTGGACATGACACTGATTCTTTCTCTGTTGGGCTCTCATTGTGGTTACCAGTAGGTTTCTCCCTCATTAGACCTCGTTTTACATGAAAACTTCTTATTCTTCTCTACTTTGCTTGTTTGGTCATCCAGATTTGTCCAATGCTTGATCCAAATCCTCCTAGATTGTATTTTACCTTGAAAAGCACAAAAACATACCATAAAGGCATAAAGAATACAAAATACAACCTAGGCCTGTTAAATGTCCATTGATCAAATAGTTATGATTTAAGTATTAAATATATGAAAATATACTGAAAATGTGCAAAATATGTAAGTGATAAACATTATAAATTGAGTATGATCACACGATCTAGGGTCTAAATGACTTGTTACTCATTCGATGATCAATTCAAGAGTGATTTTCTAGAGTGACACATGGTGTTATAGTATTGTGGAGAGAGACCATCTTAAATGTGACTACCTTCCCATTATTTATAGTCGAAAGCCCTTCGACGTCATCCCTACTATTTCACTCATTGCTATCGTAGCATTTAATGCTTCATTACTTTTATTCGGATATATGCCTCGACACTAACGGTTTGGTCCGGTCCAGATCGAACCAAACTCTTGAGGATCTTGGTCCATTAGTGAAAGACATCTTAATAGGGAGGATCGGACAGTCATTGCATTCGGTCCATTTAGTCGGTCGGTCCAAATATCAATTCGCTCCATCTTTGATCTTCAGTTATTATAAAATTAATAGGATCGAGAATCAAACCAAATTATACTCGGTTCGGAATGTCGTGCGAATTAAGAATTTCCAATTCAATCAACTCTCCTCTCTATTTCAATAATTTTTTTTATGGTGAATTAACTTGGCGCATCACCTTATTTCAATCTTTGAAATAGGGAACGGAATTTAGCAGCATCCAAATACAGAACGAAGTGTACGTGTTAATGTATTTACATCCATCAATTCTTATTGGATGCCATTTTTCTCATTTGTGTACGTATTACCCTAGCTATTCGAATCCTCCTTGAATCAAGTACCATCGCTCCTCAAATTTGAGGGGCTAGGCTACATATGAACGAATAACCATGAATTTTGTTCACTATATAAACACGCCGAACTTCCCACAACTAAACAATTTGAATCAATCCCCTCTACTATTTAATTTCCTCCCTCTCCATCTCGCTCGCCGGCCTCTCGCCGGAATCTGGCCATGGCAATTACAAAAGCCATGGCGACGTCGTTAGCGGGAAATTTGAAAAGGGTCGTCGGAATGCCGCTAGTTGCTGTCCTCTTCTCCTTCATTTTCTTCTTCACGATTCCCAGCTGTGTTTCCCAACTCACAAGGCTGGAACACCAAGTGAAGGACGACGGTTCGCTCAGCCTTTTGGTTGTTGGGGATTGGGGCAGGCGTGGCCATTTCAACCAGACCATAGTTGCTTCCCAGGTGCGCTTCACATATATATCACTTTTTTTTATCACTACAAGAAAAAAAAGAGTTTTTGCAACGACTTTACGGCTTTTGACAACCAACTATCTAGTCGCAACGTCTCCGGTCTCCAAAGCCAGAGCTTTTGGCAACGATTATGACGCTTTTTTAGTCACTATTTGTCTGGTATTTTTACTACTAATGATGATTTAATGGATGCTTGATTAGGATTAGGGATGATTAAATTGAAATTCGATGTGTGTAATTGTAGATGGGAAGAATTGGGCAGGAATTAGATATAGACTTCGTGATTTCAACGGGTGACAATTTTTACGATGATGGGCTTAAAGGCCCACACGATCCAGCTTTTGAAGAGTCTTTCACAGAGGTTTACACTGCAAATAGCCTCCAGAAGCCATGGTATACCGGTAAGTATATACACCTCTCATTAATTATGTCTATAAATTATCAATAGTATACTTAATTCATCATTTCGTGTTAATTAATTAATCATGTTGCATTTTCCCTATTTGTATGTGTAGTTCTAGGGAATCATGACTACAGAGGTGACGCGGTTGCACAATTGGATCCTTTTCTTAGGAAAGTTGACAGTAGATGGCTCTGCCTCAGATCTTTCATGCTCGATACAGGTAACATAATTCAATAAACTCTTCGTTTCCCCGCCTGTTAGCTTAGCGTGCTAAACTATAGTGGCAATGACTCAAATTAATTAATTACCAGAAATTGCAACGTTCTTTTTTGTGGACACGACACCGTTCGTGGACAAGTATTACACCGAGAAATCCCACACTTACGACTGGCGAGATGTCTCGCCACGCAGAGCCTACCTTGCCAACCTTCTCAAGGTAAAAAAAAAAAAAATTTAAAGATATTATACATCATTAATCAACATATAATTACAAGATTAGCAAACATTGCAACACGTTAATTTACACTTAAATAATGAAAGGATTTGGAGAATGCACTAAGAGAGAGCAGCTCGAGATGGAAGATCGTGGTTGGCCACCATGCAATCAGAAGCGCCGGCACCCACGGCGACACCGAAGAGCTCATACAACATCTCCTTCCCATTCTAAAGGTTTTCACTCTTCGTAATTGTTGTCCAATTTTTGTCAATGCCTTTTGTGACCGGAAAAAAACTGTTGCAAAAACTTTTGGAGACCATTTTCTTGGAGGGTAATTGTGAGTTCTCTTAATACGTCTATTTGTCTTGTGTATAGGCCAACGATGTAGATCTGTATGTAAATGGTCATGACCATTGCCTGGAGCACATCAGCAGCCATGATAGGTAACCAACATTGTATATATACTAGCATATAGAGCTAGATAAAATTTCGTATTAGGGTAGTGTGTTGGCTCGTGTAGATAGATCGACTAGTTATATATCGATTCACGATGTATTATAAATTGGTACGATTTAATTACGAAACTTATTTTGCGTGCATGGCGCGCGGAGTATAGCCCGATTCAGTATCTGACGAGCGGAGCGGGCTCGAAAGCATGGAGGGGTGACACTAAGAAGTATGATGAACGTGTGATGAAGTTCTTCTATGATGGTCAAGGATTCATGTCCATGCAACTCACAAGCACCAACGTTGAGGTTCTGTTCCATGATGTTCTTGGTGAAGTTCTGCATCGGTGGAAGGTCTCTAAGGACCTTCACTCCTCTATATGATCGAGGAACGAGGATTCTTCTTCACACGTTTTTTTCCAATTGATTGCACATAATTCCATTTTTGTTTCCATGCAGGAATTTTTTCCCCGATTGTTTCTCTTTTGGGGGAATTGATTTTTTGTTGTGTAAATATGATTATTTTGTAAATATATTTGTTTTCTTCCTTTCTTTATTTACCATCTTATAAGTTAGAATGTAATAGTGTGTTGAGATGTATATACATAGAGTATGCTCATTGTAAATCTCTCACAATTTTCCCCCCAATTATGGGTACTTATTGGTGTTGTAACATTTTTTTTCTCTTCCTAGTGGCTTCTCTAGACTTGCGGTAAATAGGTATTCTCATCGGGTGCTTCAGTCCCTTCACTCTTTAATAATTTTCATTATAGAGATTATGCGAATGAGGTCATGGCCGAGTGGTCGTACCGCTGCCTAGCTAGAGCCCCAAATTGGAATCTCACGACGTATAATATACTCAAGGATCACACACCAATCTGAGCCATATATATAAAAATAAGATACTTGATTACGTACCCTTGTAGGTAATTATTATATGCGCCCCCGCCCCCCGGTCCGATAATCTTCATTTTGCAAATACAATTCAAGTCAGAAGTACTATATCAACGTCAATTGTGATGTGATAATCATACAATATAAAGATTTACTATGATTTGAAACTTTAATGTATAGTATGTGATATATGCAGCCCAATCAGAGATCTGAGTCCCGCATGTCTAACTGAAGGTGGCCAACTTCCATTTTGTCATCTCAACTCGACTAAGGACACTTTGCTGGAGGCTGAACTGACGCATTATAACACGGTCTGGCTATATGGTGCCATGCAACTGAGTGGAAGAATATCACTGTGGCCACTAAGCTTGATCTCGGAAAGCTCGGTTATTGCAGATAATCCCGTAGGACGCAAGTATTCTTCGTAGCGGCTGTCAAAGGTGATTTTTGTTTGCGATTTTATATGCAATCTGGATCCAAATGACCCCTCAATGTTTTATTCAAACACTCCCATTTATCAAATTCTGTCTTCAACTTTAATCCGACTAACGAAAATTAGCATAAGCATGCCGTCCCAGGTAATTTGAACCACAATTAATGAACGCAACCTGTTTCATGGTAATTAAGAGGTCGTTTGCTTCAAGGATTATAAAATGAGGGTTTTTACTTAAGAGGCATTTTAGTATGCTATATAGTACCCATGCTTTAATATATTTAGAGCCATTAGATCTTGTTATAAAATATCAGCCATTGGATTGAAGTTATTTAATTATTATTATTTTCACTTGTGGACTGGTAACCTGTTGCACCGGTTCGTTACACAATCATTTTAAAAAAAATTGAAATCCAGTCGGGTAAAGGCGATCGAGCTCGTCGAAATTCAGAGCTTCTCTTCCGAGGTGGAATTTCAGAGCGTCTCTTCCGCGGCGACGGCGAACCTGCATTTGAAATAGTGCGACGGCGACGGCGAACCTGCATCTAGGGCGACAGCGACGTTGTGAGAAGAAAGAAATTGGGGGGTTTCAACTTTACCCTTTCGCGATTGTGAACTGTGCTCTTCCGCGGTGGGTCTCTTCGTCGATATTGAAGGGCTTGACATCGGCGACGGAAACGGTGAGATTGTGCGGTGGGTCTGATCGTTTTTCAACTTTCCTCTCCTGGGATTGTGTTTTGCGGTGGGTCTGATCGTTTTTCAACTTTCCTCTCCTGGGATTGTGTTTCGCGGTGGGTCTGTTCGTAGATAGTAAAGGGGGTGAGCAGTGGCGACGACAAAGAGGACTTGAATTATGAAGGTGGCAGAGACTCTTTTACTAGAGGAAGACTCAGAAGGAATCAAAGACTCGAAAAGCCCAATCGACAACGACGAGTCAACTAGCGCCGGGTAGGAGAACTCCTGCAATAGCGAGAATTGGGTGATAAAGCATTCGATTTCCGATTTGAAACGACGACTCAGTCATTCATTCGATGTAAGTGGCTGAAATTCTTATCTCCCTTTAATAAACATTCAATTTCTAGCTTCTAGCTTCTAGAGCATTTGTTGGAGCAGCTTCGAGTACAATAATGGTGTCTTTGAATGTCTGACTTATTTCTCTGGAAATGTCAAGTTGTCTACTAAGGATCGATTGCCAAATCATAGGATTGAAATTCCATGCTCGTTTTACCAAATTGAACTATGGAAGTAGAAGAGAGAATTTCTCAATTCTGTGTAACCATTTGGGATTGAAATTGAAGCTTCTCCACTGCTTTCTTCATGTGCATTCTCAATTGGATATGGTGATATAAGATGCGATATTCCTTTCCCTCTCTCGGTTTTATCAGTTGTGTGAAGTGGGAATTCTGATGTGCTCCATCTTTTCCAGTGTCTTCTTCTGTGATTTGGTTTGTCTATCTCTTTAGCTTTAACGTCTTGTGCAATGAGTATTGAAGCTCTCTCAAGTGTAGTTCTTGGTTGTGCTGTATTTTGTCACGGCCGAGTTTGATTGAGATGGGGGCATCTTTAGTCATTCCGTGATTGATGAAGCTTCAGAAAGTCTGCACTTTTTTGTGCAAATAGTTGTGGCCATCCACCATATAACTTCATTCCTCACACAGATCGTTGATGTGACCTAGGAGGTATTTGTGAATGGAGGATTCAGTGTCAACTAGGAAGCTGTCTTGGTTTATATAATCCCATAAACTGTGCTGGGGTTGTTCATTTCGTTGTTGCCTTTGCTTTCAAACTGAAGAGAATAACTGTGCTGGGGTTGTTCTGCTTGCTTCTTTAGTTCTTTGGTCTTGATTGGGTTTTAGGGATGTAAGGAATGGGTTTTTGATTGGAGAGACTTGATTTGTGTTTTATGGAGGCAAATCGAATAGGAAAGTTCATACTCAGTTTGATTATTTTCAGTTTGTAGTGTCGTTACCGTTGCTTGTTGATTACATTTTGGACTGTTAATTGAAGGGTCTTGCTTGGCTGCATGAAAGGTGCAATTGAGTGTGTTAGTCAAGAACTATTTCATGAAATCAGGGTGACTTCAGTTTTAGCCAGTTTGGATGGAAATAGAGCGAGTGTTTATGGTGGTGTCATGGTTATGGAAAGCTTAGTGGCTATGCTCGTGGTCATGTTATTTAGCTCTCAAAAGTTGTAAGTTGTGTGTGGTTTCTGGAAATATCACGGCTGTGAGAGAGACCGTGGATGTAATTCTGGAAATATCACGGCTGTGCGATAGGCCGTGAGAGAGACTGTGTATGTAAAAACACACTTCTCAGTTTCCCAGAGGTTTTCACGGGTTGCCTTCGACAGTGTCACGGCCGTGAGATGAGCCGTGTTTTTGGATATGGATGATGGGCATCTCACGGCCCCTTTGTAAATTCTCACGGGCCCCTTTGTAAATTCTCACGGGCCCCTTTGTATATTATCACGGGCCCCTTTGTAAATTATCACGGGCCCCTTTGTAAATTCTCACGGCCCCTTTGTAAATTATCACGGGCCCCTTTGTAAATTCTCACGGCCCCTTTGTAAATTCTCACGGCCGTGAGAATAAGCCGTGTGATTGTCTGGAGATTGTCTGGAGATATGAAAACTTCTCTTTGCTTCTCACGGGTCATGTCACGGCCGTGTGATTTTGCATTTTGGGTGAAATTTAATGAAAGCTGGGTGTTTTGGGTGAAATTTATATATGCCAATGGCGGATTTCATGGTTAATTAGTGTACACAGGTGTTGATGTAGGGGGTTTTCAGTTCTTCTGGTAGTTAGAACTTGTATTTTGTTTGTACTCTTCGGCATGCTTATAATTCGTGTTTCAAGGCATGCTTATAATTTTTCTGTTGTTTTAATTTTGCAGTTTGCTAAAATTGTTCTATAATGAAGACGAAGAGGCATCAAATTTTCAGCACGCGATGTTCTCCTAGGAAAGTATTCTCAGTAGTCTCAAATTTAGAGGCTTGTCAATCAGATGCCATTAGGAGATGTGGCTTTGGTCGTATTCTTGAAGTCAAAGCAAGAAAGCTACAACGTGAGTTGTTGGAGAAACTTGTGAAGAGCTTTAATCTGGAAGAAAGCACAATTAAGGCGTATGGGTTGGAAGTGCATATTTCGGCCAAAGATTTCGCGCGAATTATGGGTGTGCCGAGGGAGGTACTGATATCATCTTGAATGGTGAAGAAGTGGAGGGAAGATCAGAGGAACTGGAACCATTTAGAGTGTTTTCGACACGTGATTGTGGCCGACAGGCGATTTCCACAAGCTTAATGCAGAAGGAGTTGTCGAAGATGAAAGATAGCGACGATCTATTTCTTCAAATGTTTATTTTGTACGTAATGGGGGTGCTATTAGTACCAACTAGAAGAGAGGACATTTCCTTGTCTTCGGTATACGCTGTCACCGATGTTGCAGACATTCCGAAGAAGAATTGGGCATCCTTTTGCTTCAATGAATTGGTCAAATGCATCTGCGACCATAATGCTTATAAAAGAGAGTATATACCGGGTTGCTTGCTGTTTTTGGAGGTAAATAATTGTTAATCCCGACTTTCTACATATTTGTAATGATTAAACATCATGTTGATTATAGTATTTTTTTTTTTTGTAGTTAATATTCTTGGAGCATGCAAATGGTATTTTCCAAACCATTGATGGGAGTTTGGATTTGATGAGTTGGGGGAGCGGAGACGTGGAGTTATTGTTAACAAAAGTGGTAAGATTGATAGTATATTTGATTCTTTTGACAAGTTGGAGCATGCTAATGGTACATTTGGTTCCCTTTTTAATTAATTTATAGGTTTCCAGCAGTTCGGGGAAAAGATCAGCTGAGGATGCCGGTTTGAAATCACCTCCAAGGAAACGGGGAAAAGGAGACGGGAAACGGCACAAACCCGACGGGGATGAGCTGCTTCCCTATGAGCGTATTGATGCTCGGTTTAGTACCATGGAGGGTAGAATTGACAACTTTGGTCAAGAATTTAGAGTGGCAATGGGTGATGCTGCTTCTAGAGATAATGAGCTAATGAGCCGGGTTGTGAAAATGGAGAACGAATTTCGGGCTTTTAGAGACGAAATCGGTACTGCAGTGAAGTCCCTTATAGAGGCAGTGAAAGCAACTGTAGGTGATCCATTGTCAAGGGAGCAGCCTAGGGAACCCATTTCTCCTACAGCTGAGTTGAAAAAGAACGACTCAGAAGGGTGAGGTTGAAAAACCTAGGGAACCCATTTCTCCTACCTTGGAATTTGTCAAGACTGCCAAAGTTGAGAATTCGGGAGAAGCTGAGGGGGAAATTGGAGATGAGAGATGTTCTGAATCTCCTTCTGTGAAAGTT